GTGACAATTCTTATTTATGATTAAGAATAATATAACAATAAATATTAACTTACTTAAAGTAGATTCTTGTGTGGTTTATTTTTCTGTCTAGACTGAACTTACCTGAAAAAAAAGACAAGTATTATTTATTAAATATTCTAAAGCAATATAACAGATATTTGGTATATTATAAAATACAATAACACAGAATTCATCTGCCAAAATTCAGAAGCGCCATATTAAAAAAAATATCAGTTCTTTTTCTAATATTCTATATCGTTCAGACATATATCTTGTTATATACCGGGTGTTTAAATTAAAGTGTTACAGTTAAATACCGCCGTTTATTAAAAAACGTTTCAGATGGAAGTTTTATATTTTGGGGTATACATTTTAACTAAAATCTTTTTTTTCGCACAGCAAAATTTCCAATAAATAAAAGTCGAATAAAAGAATGTTTTTCCTTAAAGTTTTTAATTTTTTTTTATGGACTTTAAGAATATGTAAAACAAGGGGGTTCCAATTTGAAATAAAAAAGTCCATCTCGATACGGCCGTATGGTCAGCTATAAAAAAATTAATTTAGCCAAAATGTTTCCTCCTAAAAAACTATAAAACTTTCGTTTAAAACTTTTTTTTTTAATGCATATTTTCGACGTTATTTAATTGTAACACTTTAATTTGAACACCCGGTATAACACTAGCTATTGCCCACGGCTTCAAATGCGTGGAGTCGTAGTTTTAATATGTTATGTTATATTGAGAATGGGGTGTTAACACACTGAGACCTAAAAGATCTATTGTGCCCCCTTCTGTCGCCAATGCACTAAGGAAATGTCTCAATTCCTATAACGTCCCTTACAATCCTTTTTCTCAAGGAAGTGTAGGATTTGAAGTGGCTTCAAGCAGAGCTGTGCGATATTCAAGTTTAAGTACTCGATAGCTGTACTCTAAGTACATTTAGTGTACTTGGTACTCAGTCCAGAGTTCATTAGGATCCTATGTATTTGTACTTGTACATTTTAGAGTACTGTAAGTACTTTTGAATGTACTTAAGTACTTCAGACAAATAAGTACTTTAAGTACTTTTGAATGTACTTAAGTACTTTTGAATCTACTTAAGTATTTCACACAAATACAAATATTGCGCAGTTCATATTTGTTTAGACTTGTCTCAATCTCAGTCTGTCTGTTCCAACTGCCACGTGCAATGTTTGATTCGATTTGTCGGTAGCCGAAGACGATAGTGTTTTAAAAGTGCCGATAAGCCAAAGTTAAGTTAGTGAACTTTATCGTATAAATTATTCAATCTTTGTCGTGTAAATTTATGAAACTCAATTATTTGAAAAGTGATTACGTATTTAGGTACTTTGTGTCTAAAAAATACCTCTATCTACAGAAGGCTGTAAAGGTTTTAATCATTATATTATACACAGATTGGTTTGGGTTTATGCCGAAAAATAATCTGTTTTAAGCTAACTTTGTAGGTTAGGTATTAGCAATATTTTTATCTTTGAAACTCAAACACTGTTAAACATATAAGAAATGTTGGTTTTTGAAAAGAGGAATAAATCTAAATAAAACTGAATAAAAAGCAATATACCGGGTGGTCCATTTGACTTGAGACATATTCCCATTTCGACTGCATATCTCGGATTTTGCATGAAGATACGAGATCAAAACTGGCTACTTTACATCAAAGGCTGGGCCTCCCCCATTTTAAAGAAACTGAAATCCAGTATTTGGAAGATTATTGTCAAGTATTAAAGCCTTTGGCAACAGCTTTGGACATACTACAGGGTGAAACTAATACTTACTTTGGTTATCTACTTCCAACATTGACTTCATTAGCCAACAAATGGAAGAATATGAAAGTCGATTTCCAGGGCCCTAGACTTGTCTTGAGGCACTGTTTAAACGGTTTTGCTCTGTTTTTCATTTAGAATGTGAAAAAGCACTAATAGCCGCAGTTTCTTGTCCAAAATTTAAACTTCGGTGGTTCAACACCCTAAAAAGTGAGCTACAGTCCCAGACAGGAATCTCACTGGACGGTGTAAAACAAACATTTATTTCATGTGCTGAACGGCTGTTAGATTCTGAAAATGTTGATAATGATAATAGTAGCAATGATAGTAATGAACACGATGCTGAAA